TCGCACACTTTAGACAGCATGGTGGACGGTGGAATGCGTTCAGTCAGGCGGCCGGTCAGATACGTCCCCCCTGATGCCTTTCGTTTTTTTTTGTTTTTTTTTTTCCTGCTGCCTTTCCAATGTACATTGCTTCGGCTTAGCTCATAAAAAACTGTTGAAAGGCGCAATGCAAGTTGCTCCCCACCAATAGATGCAGCTTGTGTATATTTAAAAAAAAAAAAAAAAAAAAAAAAAAAAAAAAAAAAAGCGGCATTGTGTACTGGCCACAGACTCCCAATGATCTGAAAACGATGGTGTGAAAGAGAGCAAGTTTGGGACATGGGCTTAGTGCAGTTGGCACATCCATGAACTGCTGAATTACAGACCCAAGTTCGAATCCTAACGCAACCAGATAAACAAACCTGGGGGCGGTCAGTTCAATCATGATATCTCAAGGCCATCACCCTTTTTTGGAAGTTTTCCAAAAAAAAAAAAAAAAAAAAAAAGAGCCCTAGTAACCCCTAAACCATTAGTAGCTACTTTTCAAGAAATTTTTGGATCTCATCCTCTTTGTCAGTTTATGGATCAAACTAACCCTCTGGCAGAGATTACTCGTAAAAGAAGGATAAGCTCATCAGGGCCTGGAGGATTAATTCACAGTATTAGTGAATATGATATGTTACATTAGAAGAATATTTTGCTATTTCATACTAATTTTATTTTCTTGAATTATCAATACCTCTATTTATTGTCCTTTGGGACATAATTCGCATGCATAACAGGTTTCTTTTTCTTTAGCGTACAAACCTCTTTCCTGTTATAGGGGTCATAGGCATTAATGTGGGGGCGATAGGAAGTAAACGTGGGAGATCACAGGAGGCAGGAAGGACTACTAGAGAGAACAGGAACATTGGGGTCATCGGAATAAAAAAGCCAGAACTGCCGACTGGATTAAAACTTCGTAAAAGCTGGCAGCAGAGCACAAGTCTGCACTTTATCAGCCACAGGACCTCCTCCGTGCACGCACGGATTCGAACCGGCGCCCTCAGCCTCAAGAGCCGAGTCTCTTAACCACTACAGCCATGGCACGGTGTAAAAAGTGGATCCATGCCGGTCGTGATATCCACCCCACCCCTGCATGGCTGTAGCGTCCTTCAACTCACACACACACACACACACACACACACACACAACACCACACTAGGCATCCGCCACACAGGCAATAGTCACACACTCCGCTCTCATCCAGCACAACTGCTTATCCAACGGTTTATCCACGGGCCACCACATCCAGGTATAATTTCCGGACTGGTTACCCGGTAAGAGTACAGTCTGCACTTTATCAGCCACAGGACCTCCTCCGTGCACGCACGGATTCGAACCGGCGCCCTCAGCAGAGCACAAGACCAAATGCCTGTTCACTGGTTGTAAGATCATGTTCCCTTTCAACCATAATGGGGAGGAGTGTAGCACGAGTACATGATGTACTTCGGGACTTGCCGATGGAATAGGCACCGGACTGACGCTCCCCAGAATGAACAAGGAGCCGGAACTGTAACTTTCTATTTTTTTCACACACGAAAAAAAAAACCTTTTCTCTCAAGAAGTAAGAGAACAGCTGACTCCGCGCCCGGACCGTGTTGTCTCTCATTCTCTCCGCGGCTTCAAAACAGCTGAGTCTGTTTTTACCATTTAGGGATTATGGGACCGCTTGCTATACACGCGGTGGGATTTTGATCGTCCCCTCAAGTTCACAACGTCGCAGTCCTTTACTATCCTCATACATCCAGAACAACCACTGTGAGGAACATAGATAAGTACACACCATACAGCCAACAGAAAACTGAGAGGTGAACAGAGCCAGATTAAGATATATAGTGGAAAAAAGTACAGAAGTATAGACATAGACGGACAAAATTACAGAAATTGTGTGTGTGGCAGGGGAGGGGGGGGGAGGGGTGTACTGTCCTGTTCAGTATACACAGAGAGAATGTGTGTGTGTTGCGCATTCGCTAACCATAACTTAAAAGGGTCACTGTTCAGTCGCACTTTCACCAACTCCTCACACACACACACACACACACACACACACACACACAC